ACATCCACCTACATGTTGTCCTACATATACATTTAAAAAATTATGTACCTCATATGAAGAAAAACTGTATTTGTCTTTCTGAGTCTAGTTCACTTGACTTACCCTAATGATATGCACTTCCATTTTCATTCAAGTCTCATGATTCTGTTTTTCTTCATGACCGGATACAATCCCGTTGTGTATATATGTGCTATGTTTTCTTCATCTACTGATAAACATCTCCACTGGTTTCACATCATAGCTACTGTGAAGTGCTACAACTAACCATGGGTGTGCAGGTGTCTCTGTGGCATGCTGATTTAGAGTCCTTTATGTGTATATCCAACTGCACATTTTATACATTACTTATTTTTAATTTTTTCACTTAAATTACTATTTTAAAATCTACATACAACATATTTTGGTCATATTCTTCCCCTTTCCCAATACCTCCTAGATCCTCCCCAACTCTCTACCCACTCAACTTCATGTTCTTTTTCTCTCTCAAATAAACCTCAAAAGAAAGAAAAAGCCAATCGAAACAAACAAAAAAACAGTAAAACAAAAAGTATCAAATGTACATTTTTAATCTGTTGCCACTGTCTTGGAAAGTTCCAGGTTTCAGCATTGGCAAATGACTTTTCTGTTGCTAGTTACAATCCCAAATAGAGAAGGAGAACTGTTGGGGACAAATCTAACTGAGGAAGAATTACTCTGTGATTTCATTTTGTCTTTTTAATGTGTCTCCCAAGGACAAATTTTTCCAGCTATGATAAAATGTATTGAGACAGTGTCAGTCACACATCAAAACGTACATGAAGTGTGTTTATACTTGCCATCTAAAAGACAGTATGAGAGATGGGCATTGGGGGAGTAGTTTGAGTAGAGCATGTTTGTATGTGTGTTGGGACAGGACCTACGCCTCACAGAGACCCCTGGTCTGTCACTAGGTACCTCTGCAAAACTGTAAAATAACAACTTCAATTTGGTAGCTTTTGAATGGATTACTGTTCAACTTTTGGCTTTTCAGCTGTTTGCTATGAAGACAAAGTGCGGGAGAAATTAACAGAGGAATATGGTTAGAAATTGGGAGAGGAGCCATAGAGAAAAGCAGCTGTTTAATAATTACAAATGTTAGTTGAGTACTTTAAGTGTCTGTCACTTGATATTTATTAATCTTGTTGGCTATTGAAATATCTGTATAGGATATATATAGTAATGTTATTATTTCCACTTTAAAATTGAGGGAAATGAGGCATAGAGAGACATCAAGTAGCTTATCTGAGGTCAGGACTTTGAACTGAGGTCTAGACAGATTCCAGAACTTGTTCTCTTAAGGTGTCATGTTTTGTTGTGTGTCCAGATCTCATGCTTGCAAAATTCCTAAGGCCTGGTAGAGCTTGTCTTCCCAAAAGGTAGTCACTCTTGAAAATTGAACTCTGGAACAATAGAGCCTGTAATGATTGATGATTTTTTGATTAGAAGCATCTTGCCAATGACCAGCTGCACAATCTTGTGAATGCAGACCTAATATCTAAAGGTCTTTTTCCATGCAGGATTCTATGACAGGAGGAGTTGAAGGGTAGAGAGTGAGGAGGGAGATCATGCCAATACAGTGCTCATATATGAAATTCTCAAAATAAAAGTACAGAGTAAAGTTAAAAGTAAACATAATGTTTTAGACTAGAAAAGATGCTATTGACTACACCAGATATCCAGAATTATCTCCCAACCCAGATGAGGAAATTCCTTCAGAATGCTACCCTTAGAGAGTCTGGGAAAACCTAGTTTGTCTTTCTTTTCTCTCTTTGTTTGCCTGTCTTCCTGTCTGCTTGTCTCCCTTCCCTTCCCTTCCCTTCCCTTCCCTTCCCTTCCCTTCCCTTCCCTTCCCTTCCCTTCCCTTCCCTTCCCTTCCCTTCCCTTCCCTTCCCTCCTCCCTCCCTTTTTCTTTCTTTTTTGTCTCTGTTTTCTTTGAGATAGGACCTTATATTATAGCTAAGGCTAGCTTGGAACTTCCTATGTAGCCCAAGCTACCCAGTCTTGATGACCTTCCTGTCTCAGATGCTAAAGTGCTAGGATTAGCAAGAGCCCTACCCCAACTTCTCTGTCTTTATGTTTCCTATGGCAACAAGAAAGGACTCAATTTTCTTTTCCACTTTTGTCTCTAACCATTGTGGGTACTCTGAACTGTCTCATATTACAGCATTCCAGTTCAGCTAGGGTGAAAAGAAGGGTATTGTTCTATTGCTACTGGATAAATTCCAAAGTCTAGAAAAGTCTCTGAGTGACCACTTTCATTTCCTGGAAGACTACAAGACAGATATGAATGTGTTCTAATTTTAAGCTTTCCATTGAAGGAGGATTCAAGCCTTAATTGGGTCTTTCTTTAGTTTCCAAACTTCTTCTCACTGTCAGTCAGGAAAGTTCTTCTTCTTTCCATATTTAAACCCTTTTTGCTATAATTAAGATCCTTCAATTCTCTTGTAGCCTCACTGGGGATGGAGAAAAGCTGATGTCTGAGAAACTCACTTGCTCAAACTGAAACCTTCTTCAGGGAAAGTGGGCTTCTTGAACTTCTTAGGGTATTTATGAGCGAAGAATGAAAAGTGAAAATAAGGGCAGAAGTTCATGGGATGGCCTTACTTTCACTGTCTGGCTGACAACAGGACTTAGAACTTGCAAGTTTACTATTCACTCACCACTGATGGCACACTGCTCCCATGTTCTACAGGTCTGCTGCTTCCTGTCAGCACATTCTTGACAGGTGTCCTTTCCTTGCCCCTTAGGTGTGGCATACAAGTATAATGTTCTTGAAATCAGGCCACTTTGGTGGAAAATAGTACAGATTCACTTGAGTCTTCTCGGAGGAAAAGGAGAATATACATGCCATTAGGAAATTGGGAGCAGATACCTATCAAAAGGAAACAGCTTCTGCTTTCTATGTTTTCAATTTTATGGAAGTAAGGCATTTATTTCATGATGTATCTCATCATGTCACTATTCTGCCTAGTCACTTTTTCTACCAATTGCTTTGCTTAACTTCCTCAGATTTCAATCATAAATTGTGGTTTTAGTGCCCTAGAGACTTGATCCCACCTCTTGGGCTTTGTTTTGTTCCAGTGTCTGTGCGCTCTGTGAATTATCTCAGCAGTGCTGCGGTGATATTGTGTTCCCCAATATATTGTGCACCCTAATAAACTTATCTGGGGTCAAAGAACACAACAGCCACTAGACAGACATGAAGGACAGAAAATGGTGGTACACACACCTTTAATCCTAGCATTCTGGGATCAGAGATCCAACTGGATCTCTGTGAGTTCAAAGCCACACTGGAAACAGCCAGACATGGTGACACACGCCTTTAATTCCAGGAAATGATGGCAGGAAGCAAAAAGGTATATAAGGTATGAGGACCAGGAACTAGAGCTGGTTAAGCTTTTAGGCTTTGAGCAGCAGTTCAGCTGAGATCCATTTGGATGAGGACACAGAGGCTTCCAGTTTGAGGAAACAAGATCAGCTGAGGAATTGGCAAAGTGAGGTTGGATGTGGCTTGTTCTATTTTTCTGATCTTTCAGCATTCACCCTAATACCTGGCTCTGGGTATGTTTTTATTAATAAGACCTTTTAAGATTCGTGCTACACAGTGCCGTGTTTGGTTTGGTTTTTTTTTCCTTGCCTGTTTGTCCCTTCTTTTTATTTCAGGACAGTATCTCCATAAGTTGTCAGGCTAGTCCCTTGAACGTGGCAAGTAACCCAGCCTGAACCATAATGCTCCTACCTTAGGGTGATATATTACCACTATGCATCACTATATGTTAATTCCAAGTTTCAGAAGTCAAAATCTGGTGCTGCTTATTTCTTGAGGTCTGGCTAAGGGGATACACATTACTAGCCAGCCAATGAATTGGATTTCATTTAGTGTCAGGTGCCAATGTTTGCTCCAAATTACTGCAGCCAAAGTCCTGGTAGGGTTGTGGGTTATTTATATGAGTCTGGTGCTCCTAAGACATGATGGTGGCAAGTTAACCCAGGCTTATAACTGTGATATGAAGAGTAAGGTTTTTATTAAAGTTCCACAGCATTTCCCTATAATGACCAAAAGATCTAAGCCAATGGGAGATGACTGAATGGGGCTTTTTTTTTTATTACTTTTCTTGTTTCTGTAAAGAAATAACTTACAAAACCTTAAGGAAGTTTATTGCAGCTCACAATTAGAAGCTGTGGCACTGAGAAGTTCCCTAGAAGTGGTGGCTAGAGTGTGAGGTCACATTGTATCTGCAGTCAGGAAGCAGAGGGTAATGAACACGGTTGCCCACACTTTCTCCTCTTTGTTCCATCCAGCACACCAAGGCACAGAATTACCAGCATGATCTACATCCAACATAGTTCTTGCCATCTCAATTAAACCTCCCTGGAAAGGGTCACACAGACATGCCCAAAAGTGTGTCTGTTAGGTGACTCTAAATCCTACCAAGTTGACAGTCAAAGTTAATCATCACAGGGGCATAGAAGCCAAAGAAGGCTTGGGTTTTGGTTGAAATAATTATTTTGAAGAAGAGAGAGTATATACCCTGTTTACCACGTGAAGCATCTGTAACATGTATGCAGTGTGTAGCTCCGTTGGGTAGCTTCAGAGAGAGTTTGGTGCCAGAATAGGACTCATAGTGAGACCTTGTGTGACCAACAAAGAAAAAGTGGCTGTAAGTAATATTGACCTATCTTAATTTAGATTCATATACCATTCTCTTTAGAAGTTGTCCACTTATCTATCTATCTATCTATCTATCTATCTATCTATCTATCTATCTATCTATCTATCTATCTATCACACTCCACTACCTGTGGAATGACACAGTATTCCTGTGAATTGAAACTATAACAGAAATGCAGCATTTTAGAGGTGAGTGTCAGGCTTGAATGGGGGGAGGCAGAATTGAATGTAAAGCAGTCCAGGGAAGATGATAGGGTGACAGAAAACTCTATTTTCCTACCTGTGTGTGTGTGTGTGTTTTTCTTTCCAGGGCTGCTGATAAGCTCAGGCTGTGCATTATATCCTTTAGGATGGAACAGCCCGGAGGTGATGCAAACATGCGGAAATGTCTCCAATCAGTTTCAGTTAGGTAAGGCGGTATGGCATGAATTGCACTGATGGTTTATGGGAAAACTGTCTTCCAATGTTTATGTCTTGGAGAGTTCTCTTTTACTAATGTCACTTGACCATATCTGTCATGCTTCTAGATGGCCATGGGTTTGTCTGAGTTCCTTTGCCCCTTTAAACTTGTAGGAATTGCCTTGAAAATTCTGTTTCGTTAATTCTCTCTCTATGTCCTTTATACATTTTTATCCAGCATCTTTTGGCCAGTGTAGAGAAACTAACTACAAAAAAAATTGAAGTATTTTGCACACAGACAAATTTTTGGTGTGTGTTATTTTCTATCATTTACCTGAGGAGGAACATAAAAGAATGAGACAGAAAATGAGAGATTTATTCTCAGAATTCATATTCTTTTCGAGCTTACCTTTGTGTGGGTAGAGGAGAATAAAAGTAATGTTAATAACAATTAAAATGCTTTTGAGAGTTTATTATATAAAGAGGAAAGAGGGGAAGGTGGTTCTTAACTTGCACATGGGCATAGAGCTTTTAGTGAACAGAAGCACGATTTAATTCAAGTCTATATGTTTATTGTTGCACTGTTCGCAATAGAGAAGAAATGGCATCAGCCTAATACCCATCAACATACGAATACATAGTGAAAATGAAGGACAAAATGAATATATAGATCAAAACAAAGACAATAAAACAAGAAAATATGACATGGAAAAACAATGGAATTCTTCAGCTTTGAAAATAGAACAAAATTGTGACACTTTCAGGAAAATGAATGAAACCTGAGATAATTATGTTAAGTGGAATAAGCCAAACTTACAAAGACACATATCATGTATTTTTCCCTCATGCAGAACTTAGATTTAGATTGAGGTATTGCGATGGCTATGTGAATAGAACATAATACTAAAAAGAGGATTTTGAGAGGAGGGAAGGAGGTCTACAAGGAATGAAAAAAGAACAAGAAAAGATAACAGGATGTTTGTAACATGAAAGCAGGGGCCAGAATGACTGCCAGAGGGGAGAAGGATTCACAGACGGAAGGGATAGGAAGAGAGCCGGTGAGGAGATTCAGTACAAAGTATATTGACATATATACATTAGAAAATGTCACAATGAAACCTATTACTTCAAATAGTAAATAAATAATAACAAGGAAAAACACTTAAAACAGAATTGTCTTATTTTTACATATCCTGCCCTAATTGCATCTTTCCATATCTCCAGCAGAGGTAGCTATTATCTGTAATTTACAGGTTTTAAACATTATATGTACCCAAAATGGTGATTGTACTATGAACTTTATATTTATTATTATATTTTATTCTTCAGACAACTCTGAGTTTGCTTTTATATACTAGTATTATTCTGAGAAAAATGTAAAAAAAAAGACTTTTATATCCTTTTATCAAATAAACAAAGACCTGAGTATCAGTTTTAATGAAGCATCAACTCCCTTTACAGTGCTTGGAAAATTTAGCATATTTTTATATAGAATCATAGACTATCATAGACTATTCGAACAAAGGGAGATTTAGCTGTATTATTTGGTTTATGCTGTTGTTTATTCTCCTTATCCTTTATATTAAACACTACAACCACTGATGTAGGAGGTGACTCAATGGATGATGTGCTTGCCATGCAAGCCTGAGAACCTAAGTTCAGATCCACAACAGCCATGTAGAAATCTGGGCATAGCCATGCACATCTGCAACTCCAGTACTGTGGAGAACACATGGAGACAGACAGATCTTTTGAGCTCACTGGGCAGTGTTCTCAGCTAATAGGTGAGCTCCAGATTCAGTGAAGAAACACTGTTTCATGAAAAATCAGATGGAGAATGATTGAGGAAGACACTCCAATCATCAACTTCTGAACATAACATATGTTAGCATATATTTACACCCCTACATGGATGCACCTTTCCACATGCATACACCATAAACACACACACACACACACACACACACACACACACACACACACACACACACACACACACACACCACAATCTTGAAGGTCCTTTACTGCGATATATTTATTTATTGATTTCCTTTGTAGCCCATAACATGTAGTTACTTGGTCTTCTTATTTGACCACCCATTTTCCTTAATAGAATGGAAGCTCTGTGATAAAAGAGACTTTATCTTTTTTCATAATCAAATGACACTTTTTGTATGAACAAATCTAGTCTCACCTCTTCAATTCAAAGACGAGGAACTAAAGGCCCAGAAACTGATCACCTAGTCCAAGTTTCCTAACCGCACATACTTGTGTTCTCAGGCTAGGATCCAAATGTATTGCATCTGCTCTTAAAGGGACAGGGACTATTGTAGTGCCAAATGACAGTGTTGTCGATGCTGTGATGAGAAAGACAGTTTCTGTGAGAAAGAATAATAGAGGACATTCTTACTTCAACTGGGGAAAGAATACAGAAGATCTCCATGACAAAGTGTGGTTTCTTTAGAAGGAAACTGAGAGATTAGTTGTATTAACAGGGTAATTTCAGGAAGAAGAGAGTTCTACACACAGAAAAAGAAAATATTCTATGAAATGGGCATGGCTTATCTGGTAAGAACTGCAAGATCAGTGTTGCTGAAGCTGAGTGACAAGAAATGTAACAGACAACTGAAGGGTTGTAAGCAGCAATCTGACTTTACAGGGCTTTGGGGTTTACCCACCACTGCGGGAAGCCATTGCAGGATTTTGTGAAGGAGGGAGACAAGGTGTGACTTCCATCCTAGAAGGTTCTTCTGACAGAGTTGCAGAGAATACCTTTGGAGGTGGTGGCAAGAGTGGAAGATGCCAGAGGGGAGGATAGTCTCAGACTAGGAAGAAATAAAAGAACAGGTATCAGCTATCTGAATAAAGTCCACTGGTTACAAAAAGAGTTGACATGCTGGCATAGAGAGAGGAAATCCCACAAGGCCTCATCCCTAGATGAAGAGCTGTAGGTGATTAATAGCTGCTGAAAGAGGGAGAATCCATCTTCTTTCAGGATGAGCCCTCTCCCAAGTGGTAATCAGCCCCCCAAAATACACATATGAGCAACGGTAAAACTCGGGAGGTTGTGTTTATATATTAATTCATATATATGCATGTATGTATGTATGTATACCCATAAGTATGCATGAAACAATAAAAATTTAAAAAGGAGATCATGAATTTGATGGGAAGTGTATGGTGGAAGACTTGGAGGAAAGAGAGGGAGTGGGAGATGGTAGAAATACAGTACTCATATATGAAATTTTTTTAGATGAAAAACACAGTTGTCCCTTGTATCCTCAGGTTAAGTTTTGTATTTTTTGATTCAACCAACTATGGAAAATTAAATTTGACAAAAAATTGCACTTGTACTACAAATGTACATTTTTGGTCATTTATCTATATATAATGCAGTATAGCAACTGTTCACATAAATTGACATTATATTATATAACCAATCTACAAATGATTGAAATATACATAATGAATGTATAATTCTTATGCAGCTATAATCAACCCAATCTCCAGTAGATAGTGAGGGACAGCTATGTATTTTAAAATGCTCAGTCAGTTGTAGAAGGTATTAGGTTTGGTGTGGGTAAAAGAAGACAAGAAGTGGAAAGATGAGAGGAGAAATAGCTATGGTTGGAACAGGAAGAGGAAAAACAGAAACTCAGTTTAGATGTTTGTGAGATGTCTCCGTGTAGCCTAAATGTCAAGCAAGTGGTCTGAACCTCACTGAGGAATCTAGTCTCAAGTTTAGAAATTGGGAGTTCTTAGCACATATAGAACACAGGTATAAGGATAAATAATTGTGATAATAATGACTATCACCTTCTGAGGATGAGATTTACAAACAGGTGGAGTTACTTTTACAAGATCTGTTTACCTATGGAAAAGGAGTGAAAAGAAAGGTTAAGTCAAAGTCTTGGAAATTCTCAACACATAAAATTGGCAAATACAAATTCCTATGTGGCATTTACTAGCCACATAACTACCCTTTACATCTTTGCTTTAATCTGCTAGGAAAGGATTATTAGCCTGTGTCTTAGACTATTTTGTATTGCTATATCAGATCACTCATTCCTGGGTAATGTATGAAAACCAAAGATTCAACTTGGCATAACATCAGTGTCTGGACTTATAAAGACATGGTAGAGAAGCAGAAAAAGAATTGGATATGTGCAGAAGGGTCATGTATACGTGCAAGGACACAAGGGAGCAAAGATTGCTCATTAATGACAGCTTGCTTTTTCTTGTGAACTAATCTACTCTTGGAAGCTCTGAAAAAGTCCTTTGAAACATCATTCATCCATTTATTGCAGTGGAGCTCTCAGGACCTACTCAGACTCATCTCTTAAAGGTTCTCAATACTGATCCTGGGGACCATGCTTCTAGTACATGATTTTCTGGGGACAAACAATACCCAGACCATAGCAGCCTTATTGTTTGCATGGAATTTGTGTATATTGTGATAATCATTGTGAGTTCTTTGTGTTCATTATCTGATGCTAGATCCTGTAGTCTCCCACTCCTTTTCTGCAATGATCCCTAAGCCTTGTGAGAAGGAGATATAGTATATATGGTTCATTTATAGCTGAGAATGCTGCAGGCTTTTGTTCTCTGTGTGAGGGGAGGTAGATATGAAATCCTACCACTAACCAAAGAGCTCCCAGTAAGAACGTAAACAATCCAAATACTTCTAATGGAACATAGCTCTTTTTCATGAAAAGACTGTTATCATAACACTTAATTCTTAGGTAAGTTCTGTAGCATCTATAGATGAATCATATCACTACATATTCTACAAATTTGTATTTGCCAATTTCATGTGTTATGTATCATAGTTTAAATGATACACAGCATTGGTTTGGGAAGACAGTGAGATTTACAGTAGGGTCTGAAGATGACTTGAGATATAAATGGAAAGGAAAGTGCTAGCTTATTTATTCTGATATATTTTTTGCCTACATTTTTATTGTCTTAGGAAGATGGTCATATTAAAATATAAATAATACCACTTTGTTT